TTTAAAATTTAATTTTAAGTGGGTTTCCTGTGTACTAAAATGGTTTATGTTTTGAATGGCACATACAGTGATGAAGGGTGAAATACTTTCTGATTTAGGTCTGGATAACTGCCCTGTAAACATCAATGTTGTATTTCAGGCAAGAAATGATTCACATTCTGTACTGGTTCAGTAATAAGATTTTCCAAGAAATACTCTACAAGCCAATGTACATGTAACTTTAAGACAAGTTAATAAGAAACAAACAAGCTAAAAACTTCCAAGGATTTTTTAGAACCTTTTTAAAAAATTCACTTCATCACGTTAAGTAAAATTAGGTCATAAGCATATTATTTTTAACTGGAAGGTCTAGCTTGCTTTACAATTCTCTTATTTAATTGTTTAATCAGTTTTAGTAATCTGTCATGGTGAATAAGCTTTTGTAAGTGGGTCGGATCCCATTATAATCAACACCATTCTTTTGTTCATTTCTCTTGACATTCTTCACTGTCTAACCACAGACCAGAAAAAAAATGGTTTGGCTGATATAACAAAGAAAGCTGTTAAACATTTAAGTCACAGAAATGCAAGTTTCCATTCAGTAAGTAGTTACATTGATAAAGTTTTTCAGATAAGATATTTATCTACTCTAGCCACTCATTTAAAAATATCCTATCAGATTGATCACAAGTAAAGGGACATGCTTTTAAAGAATGCTACACAGATAATATTATAAGGTTTTAAATTTTTATGGTGTTGCTGACTGTTGATACTTAAGATAAAAAGGGTTTGTCAAACGATAATTTTTTTCTCATTTCAGATACATGGTATAGTTTTCTCCCACAAATCTCACATCTTTATAAAGTGTACTACTGCCTAAATCATCTGCAGAACAATTTTCCCTAGATACGAGACCTATGCTTGTTCAGGTTTTATATAGAAGTGAATAACGAGCTCATTTGTCAAGTGATTCATGTTGAATACATTTACTTTTGTTTGTCTCCATTAGAAAAGCAGTATTTCTCTAAGGTAGGTCAGCTATTTAAAAATCATATTCTACAGAACAAGAATCCTAACTATTAACTGATGTAGTGGACATACAACAATAAGCCATACACAACAGATTCATAAGGTACTTGTGGGATAACCAGCAACCCCAGGAGAGACTTCAAAGTATTCTATTCTGAACTGACTATTGCACTTTGCTCCCAGGTCTTTCAAACTCATTCTCACCGGGTATTATTAAGAGCCAACTTGGCTCCACTTGATTATTAGAGATCAATAAATACTTGTTAAATGGAGAAGTCAAATACAGACATTCCTAAAATGACTGACTTCTGTTCCTGTGCCTAGGTCGTTAAATGAATTGGTTGCTAAATGAAGAATTATATTTAGCAATACAACACTAAGAAATGACAAATCCTGTCAGTGTGGTCTGTTTTGTCATGCTCCGTTTTGCTTCATATACTTCGATACTGTCATGAAAGTTTCCCTTTTGTGAACTGCTCAACCTTTGGATGGGTAGCCTCTAGTTCTAACACAGGCACATTCGCTTTTGAGAACACACTGCAGACAGTACACGATGTAGTATATTCACTGAGAAACGTGTGGCACTCTCATGCACAGAACTGAATACAAAGCAAAAGAAATCACAAGGCCATGTTGGCGCTGGCATTCCTGTGTCCTAAATCCAAACAGCACCCCACAGTTAACAGGTGGGTCACTAAATGAGGAATACCTTTTCACCAGCACCCAATCATAGAACCCTTGGTTTAAAACTCCTCCTGGGAGAATCATTTTACCAGAGAGCTTTATTCTGAGTGGCTTTGTCTGTAAAATTACCCCTCAAACAAGTAATACCGAGCTGGGCTGGTGATTTATCTCAGCAGCACAAGCTTTTGCCTGACAAGTGTGAGGGCGTGAGTTTGATTCCTGATACAAAATAGTAATACTGAGCTATTCTTAAACAGTGGTTATGTAAAATTGGGTAACGTGTGCTTGTTACTTGAAACCGTAGAACGAAGTGTCTGAAACAGTAACACCCAAGCCAGTGCTTAGATAAGATCACAGCAAGGTCAATATACTTTCACGTAATGTGTCCTAAGACAACCTAACAATAAATTTAAAGATCTCAACTGGCTTTGTGAATTTCTTTTCTTTCTTTTTTTGGTACCGGGGATTGAACTCACGACCTTGTGTTTGCCAAGCAGGCACTTATGCCAAATTGCACATTTTAAACCACAAAACAGAATAAATGTTCTAGTAAGCTGAGCGAGGAAATTTGCGTTATAGCCAGGAAAGCGCTGAAGAAAGCAAAAATAACAAAAAGTAAAAAGGTCATTTCAAGGCCATTTTCCTTAAAAGGTGGAGAAAGAGAAACAAAGTAAAAGAAAAGTAACTGGTTTACATTAATTACTTCAGGTGATGTGATAAGCATGAAATGATAGGGACCTTCATCACCATGGTGATTGAAACCAGCCCGCTTTGGAAATTTGTGTGTTACTGTATCTCTCTCAAATACCCCGGGAAGGTCAGATAACAATTTAGTTTTCGTTTGGTGACTTTAGAATGGGTAACTTCAGTCTGATTTTTAGTTTGGTCTGCTGGGATGCAGTGCAGTAGCTGAGTCTGAAACGGTACTCTCCTGTAACTGTTGGGCCAAGCACCTGCTAGGGGCTTTGGACTAAGGTGGTGGGCAAAAAAGAACTTTACCTTGTCAGAGCTCTCCCTCCATGAAGAACAGTAAGAAAAAATGTACTAAGTACAAAGATAAGGAAAGTAACCAGAAGAGACAACGGTAGCCAGACTTCAGATTTTGGAGGAGGCAGTGGTGAGAGCAGGTAAAAGCAGCTTTCTTGAAGAATGAGGAAACATGAAGCATGAGGAAAAGGTAGATAAGTAAAGTCAAAACAGGCAAAATCTAGACAGCACGGTCAGTAACTCTGTCTTTATTTTGAAAGCTATTATAGGTGGCTGGGGATACAGCTCAGTGGTACAGCACCTGCCTGGCAAGCGCAAGGTCCCGAGTTGGATTCCTGGTATGGGAAGACAAAAAATAAAAAGGTTTTATAAAGCACTGATTATATCCCAGAACTTTTCATCTGTCCTTTGACAGGCAGCTCACAATGTCCCTGCCTCCCCTGGAACTTAATCCTCTCCCTCCCCCACCAACTTATGAGACCAGACTGTTGAACTGGTCATTAGTAAGTTTTCGATGTCAAAAGTTGCTTCACAATATAAAGAGATCAGTTTTCGTCTCCCACCTCCGCCAAAATTGTTAACACAGTTACATACTGAACTATGCATATGTAATAAAGCTAAACATTTTTAGCACTGCTGTGCTAACTTAGAATCTTGCACTAAATGTACAAGTTTGTATCAATAAAAATACTCAGTAAATTTATTATGAAAAAAAACCATCTATTCTGTAAGTATACAAGCTACAGCCATAATGAAAACAAACTCTGACCTGGACATAATTTTATTTTAGTTTTTTGTCTCTCTGAGACAGGGCCTCACTGTGCAGTTCAGGCTGGCCTTGAGTTCGCTTTGTAGCTCAGGTTGGTCTTGAACTCACAATCCCCTTGCCTCAGCCTCCCGAGGGCTGGGAATAAGGGCTTGTGGCACCATGCGCTGCTCAGACATAATTTTAAAGCTTTAACTTTATAATTATTCTAATTCTCCTTAAATGATAAAATACAAAGATAGAGCCCAAAATAGAAGTCCCACTGAAGTAAGTACATAGGATATGAAGGAAATGGCTGAGGGCTTGCCAAGGTCTTACCAAAGCGTATCTGGTAAGAAGTAACTTTATCTTCAGATGAATGACAATCGTTACGTTTACCTCACTTTAATTACAAGGGAGAAGGGTACCTAGTGTTTTTAATCTCAGAAATGCTATTATGCCTAGGTTTGTCTTATGTCTGCGAGTCAGTTTGTACTTAGCTAAACGTCACATACGATTAAATATCTCAGGAGCACAGCTGTGGTTACTCTTTAGCTAGAGTTCCAGGAAGGCCCATGAGGAGTTTCCCTGTTTACTCTGCTCCAATAATGGCAGCTGGAGCATTTTCCACCATGGTTGTGGTCACATCTCTGACCTGCCATTGTGTGTGACAAATTGGCCTTTTATCTCTTTAGACTGATTTCTTGCCTCATCCATGAATCAAACTTGTAATTATTTTTTGAAATATTAATCATGGTTTAAGAATAACTACTTTAGAATTTAAAAACTTTTTGTATGCCATTAGTAAACATTTATTTTTTAAATTAAAACTATAATTTAGGCTCAAGCTAAGCAGCAGTTCAAAGTGACATTTCTATTTGCATTACAAGAAATATGAAAAGAACGGCAACTGATTCTAATTTGCAAAACCGTTTTGAAGAACCTAGGTGGAATATTTGCTTAAATAGAAATAATAAACAGAACGGACGACCAGTTACCACGAACACTGTATAAGGCAGTTCTATAGGTTGTGGAGGTTAGACTACTGTTCAACAATTAATAAACCCTTTCTACCTCTAGAAACCTACAATTCTACAGTTGTTCCAGCAATAAGATTAAACTGTCAAAGAAAGCTACAAATCTGAAAACAGTTTTCAAGTAAATCACCGCAGCCAGTCCACGTACTGTACGAAGTATGTCCCGCTTTAACCTTACATATTGCAAACTGAGCACGCCCCTCCAGAACTCATCTCCAACACAGTAAAAATTGCCGGGTCGCCATGAGCCATCCAGATCAGTTCATTCAAGATTCCAGCTCTCACTCCCAGCATTAGAGTAGGCACAGTACCTGCTGCTTCAAAGACTGGAACTCTCTGGTGTCACAGTTTCAAAGTTGAGAGACATGCTTTGGTTAGAAAGTTCCCATTCCACTTTTAAACTTCCCTTTAAATAAAACCCAAGTAGCTCTGCTTTTCCCTTAAGTGATGGAAATCGGTGAAATCAGTTTCTGTGAGGCAGAGCAGAGCAGCGGCGTTGCCACGGCAACTCTTGTACACTGACCACAAGGCACCCGCACACCACCCGGAAGGAGCTTTGCCTCCACCTCCAAAGTCAGCGGCCCTGGCAGGCAGCCTCTAAGCAACACGCTGCCGTCGCCCAGGAGTGAGTGTCACTTCAATAACCAAACAAACTCCAAGCCGAGAGGGAGCTGCCGTGTGATTATGTAATTCCGCACCATGGTGAGTGTGTATTCTTTGGCCCTGTGGAAACCTGGGATGGAAAGCAGTCCAACTGACTGTCCTTCAGCACAGAGGGGAGAAACAAAAACTAAAGCGTCTCCACTTTTATTCAGAATACAGTTAAGCTTTTGCTTTTAGACTTTAATCCACAGAACTTGTGTGCTACAAAAATAATTATTATTTTGGCCACTGAGTTTCAAAAACACAATTTACTGAGTCTTGTCAAGCCTTCTGGTGGATTCTTCCACATATTACTTCATTTAGTCCCCCCAACAACCCTGGGAGTAGGACTAGTATGACCCTGCTTTACAGATGAGAAGCGGAAACATTAGATAGGCTAATAAACAGTGAAGTCACAACTCGGACCCAAGCTTCTTAACTCAAAAACCTTGTGTTCTTTTCTACTATACTAATTTTATAAGAAAATATTCAATTCTTAATTGAGATATTCACTTCTAAAATGATTTTATAGTTTATGGTAATGTTTTAGCAATACATTTCCTTAAGTAATAACCTTTCTGATAAAAACATATTTGCTGAGCATGTTGGCACACATCTGTAATCCCAACACTTGCTCTTGGAAAGCTGATGCAGGAGGATGACTATAAATCATCCAGCTTGAGTATACAGTGAGAGATCCTGTCTTAAAAAGAAGCAAATCAACCCTCCCAAAATAAATCAAGAAATACATATACCTCTGCATATATCTACATTTTCCTAAATATATTGAAGACAAAGGAATAGAAGTAAAGGGCTGCATTATTGTCCTGGTGAGTGTATTGTTTTTAGTTTCTTTCTTTTTTGGTTTTTGCTAAGTTTAAATTACAGAACTTGTATCTTTGTGGAGGAAAGATAGGGCTGAAAAATGGGTGTGGTATAAAGACTGAGTTTCCGTGAACCATCCTGGGGAGCCAACCCCGGAAGGCAAAGGAACAGCAAGTGAAGGCCACATTCCACGTCTTATCAGAGCAGGGAGAGGGGCCTTGGTCACTGCCATTAATTCCCTTCAGCTTCCACTCCGAGCATCAGTTTGCCAATGTCCAGTCAGCTACGCGTCTTCAGGTATGGGAACACTACACCATGGACTGTATTCTCACCATCAGCATGCATCACAGTTCTAATCCTCCCTAGAAGGTTCACGATTACCCCTTTATTTCCCATACTTTCTAGGAATTGTCTAGGAAAACAAAGTTATTATTAGTTTAATTTTTTTGGTAGTACTGGGGATTGAATTCATGACCTTGTACATGCTAGGCAAGCACTCTACCACTGGGCTATCTCCAGCTCAGAAACAATTATTTTTCTTAGTTCCCTATTTCCTTGACCTAATTTTTTTTTTCTTTTTGAGATAGAGTTTCACTACGTGGTTCAGACTGGCATTGAACTCATTTGTAGCCCAAGTTGGCTCAAACTCACAACAATCCTCTTGCCTCAGCCTCCTGAGTGCTAGAATTACAGGCATGCAATATCACGTCCAGCTAAAAGGTTTTTTCATACTCAGAGACTGAACAATCCTACTAATGTGAATTCAGAGAATTTGGTGAATATGTCCCTTTGGAATCATCATTTCTGAAACCGCTGCCCTACATTCTGAGCTCTTCTCATAGTTTTTCTATCTGTCCTCTATTTTCACTCAGTTGATGACTTGAGTTGTCTAGCCGCATTGGAAGATTTAGTGAGAATTAAGAGTTCAAAAGAGTTGTAGTAGTTTTCATTGGCTTCTAAAGACAAGTGTAAATTTATTATAAAGTATGCTTAAAGAATTTGATCATTACATCACTAATTTTAAAGTATAAAAATAAAGATATGCCACATCACCTTGATTTTGTGCTTGGTAAGGTAATTAAACGCCTAACTCTCTATACTTGCCTATAAAAATACACCATTTTTTTGGGTGGTAGAAACTCACATTCTCAATTTATATTGATGGATGTTATATACAAAGCAAAGAATAAAAGTCAGCAAAAATTATTAAGAAGGTAAAGTAGATCACTAGTATTTGAAAAACTTCATTTGTAAACGAGACTAGGACAGTACTGTGAATTACTGTCTTGTACATATGAATTATTTGCGAGTGTCACATAAAGCCAAAGTTAAAGACATTTTCACAAAACCCGCAGAACTATTAAGCTTTTTATCATTCTCAAAAATAAAATGATTTCAAAGTTTTAAAATAAGACAGGGAGGCAGCACTAGGAAAGTTAGAAATCTTTCTGTACTTCGTTCATTTAATTTTGGTCCTTAAGGTTACAAGTCTGCTAAATGAAAAAATGGAATGGTAATGATATCTCAGATATAACTCCATTTCGAGAACTGAGTAATTTAGTCTAATTTCCTAAATTTAGCTTAAAATATTTACAAATAATGTTTCTAAAACATGATGAGTTTAGGGACTTTGGTCAGTAAAAAAGCAAAAGTATCATACTGTTTGGGATTCTTAGTCACCAAGCATTATTTTAAAAACATACAATTTCATGTTTTATAAAGGCCAGAAATATAATTTGAAATTTCACAAATATATTAGATTAAACCATTTTAACAATTCAAATTCTTGCTGATGAAGTTCATGTAGGCTGATGGTTTTGATATTGTTACTGTTCCCACATAATATCATCTCTTCTCAGTTTCATTTGAATATTATGAACTTGTACTGGATGAAAGTTGCTGCTTTTCTGAGAACAGTTAGCTTTAGTCAAACATTTCCTGGGGCTATTTTTCATGATCTTCAAGTCTTGGTTAGCTGCTTGCTGAATAACTGAAGCTTTATATGCCTTTAAGTTTTGAACTTTTTGCTGTAGTTTATAGACCTGAGAAAAAGAGAAAAAAATCTAACATTTTAGTCAAAAAGATACTAAAAATATAGATGAGTTGAATTGATGGCCTAAAGATCACATTAAATTAAAAAGTTTAGTTTGGTAAGTTTTTAGTTATAGAATGTTTATTATAAGCCAAACAATGTGTTAGTCATGTAGGAATATAATGACTAAAATATCCTTGCTTTCTAGGAGCTTACTGCTGTGATTAGTGAAAAACAGCATACATATAATAACTTGGGAACTACTTCAAGCAGAGGTAGCTGTGTATGCAAGAAGGCTAACGTACAGCAAGATCAATGCAGGCTGGAGAAGGAGAAGGAAGGCAACATGAAGACACGGAACTGACGGAAGCGCGGAACAAAGAAGAAAGAGCTTTTCAGGCGACACGGACAGCAAAGCAGAGGAGAAGCACTGGTACACACATAATCTTAGCAGTATCTTCAATTTAAATACTAGTGAGTATCAGGAAAAAATCAAAAAATAATTCTGCTTTCTTGAGGAGTGTCAGCTAATAATAGAATAGATACAATTAAATAAAGCAATCCCATCAACAAACCCAAACACATTCCTTCAAAGTCTGATCCATTATTTATTAATTCACTGATGCAAAGGCCTAATTGGTAGAGCTGATGCAGATACTGAGCGAGCACCTGGCTGCCGCTTATTACAAATTAAATCTGCCATGATAAAATGCTTAAAATTTTACATTGTTATATCCATTATGAAATATAAATCATAATTTTCAAAATATAAAATGCACAGATTGCCTACATTTTAAAAACATGGTTATTCTTCTACTCAAGTTTCTCTATTCAATTCTAAAAAGTGTACAAATTGTTTCAAATTTTATAAACTTCACCCCAAACAAGCACATAAAATTTTTTTACTAAAAAGGCCAATAAAGTGAAAATATTTGCTTCAAAAATTCCATTTCTTTCTTTCTTGGTCATAAACATAAACAAGGCAGTAACATTCTGCATCTTTATTACTTCCCGTTAACAGTGGGGGGTTTATTTGTAAGATGAATATATTACCAACTTACATGAATGATGATTATTCAAGGTTTAAGGAAGAGCTCCCTCTGCCTTCTGCCCTAGCAGTGTAATAGTGCTGAAAGGCAAACTAGAGTCACAACTGGGGAAATCATGTACTGGTGATGCTTTAGTTAAGATGTTAAAAGTTACGCCATTTTTAGTTATTAAGACTTCAAAGATAAGTAAACAGCCCTCAATACCTAATTCTTACCTATAGCTACTACAGCTAAGCGTAAGACCCCAGCCAACGGGACACGGCCCAGACTACTTTGGGAAAGACAGTGGCTTTAGAATTCAGGTACTGCTCACATAGCTAGCTTTATGCTTGGTCCTGCCTTAGTGATGTGCAGTCACGGGGCATCGTTAAGACAGGAGAAGACACAAGGGAAAAGAATGGCTGAAGGGGTAACTGGAGGGTCACAAAGGGTTTCTTACAATTTTCCCAAAGCCTCAACACATAGCTAGACATTTTTCTCCTTTTTCTTTATATTCTCTTACAGAGTTAGCTAGAAGGCCAGGGTCATGTCAATGGGGCAGACGATTCAATGGCTTCTATCTTTTTACTAACCCACAGAGACCTCAAATTAGTAAAGTCATATGAAGAAAAAACACTGAATCCAGATATATTATCTGTGTAGTAAACATTTTTGCTAAAACCTTCTTACCTTGTCCTGATGCTTCTTCAGTTTGGAAATTTGCTTTCCTTTAATTTCCATTTTCTCGACTAAACGTTCCAGTTCACATTCTATGTCATCACATACGGAATGGGTTTCAGTCTCCTTCATTTGCTTCAGTAGCTCTTCATGCTCCCTATCAAAGGACAAACACCAAGGACTTTCCTAGTTCATATGGTCTGAGATTAAATACACTTAGAACTATCTTAGGCTATTAAAAATCCTTATAAATTTTAATTCCTGATGTTCTTGGCTAAAGTATCAAAGTTTTCTGATGCATTTGGCTGAGGAATTAAAAGATTCTCTTCAATTCAAACTCTGGAATTTGAAATACTGTACATAAAACTAGTTTCTGTATTTTATAGAAGTCTCACTTTAAGCAGTTGGCCAGCCAAATCACAGTTCTGAAATTCTAGTTGAATACATATTTAAACATGAGGCGTAATATAATGTGTCTCATACACAATCTTCTATGGATGCTTCAAATTTTTGTAATACAGACCAGATAAGAGTCCAAAAGAAGGAATTACAGGGGCTGGGGATTTAGCTCAGTGGCATAAGCGCCTGCCTTGCAAGCAGGCAGTCTTGAGTTCGATCCCTGCTACCAATAAAAAGGAAAAAGACAAAAAAAAAAAAAAGAAGGAATTACATTCCTTCTTGTCTAATGAAATCATTTATTTAACTAAAAGACTCTAAAACACCAAAGAATTTTTCTTACAAAAGCGTTTGTAAATTATAATCTAAGGTTACCAAATCTTGTATATTAGATCTATGGTAACATGTCTATCAGTCTAGATTGTGGGAATATAGAAACTCCTTAAATTGGAGAAGTAATAATTATACAGTTAAATACATAAGAATACAATGAAAAACAGTGACAACAAATCTGTGGGTCAAAAATAATGTGACTCCTGCTGGGCACAGTGTACATGACTGAACTCCGAGCTACTTTAGAAGCTGAGGCACATAGATTAAGATTGAGGCTAGCCTGGACAATTTAGTGAGACCCTGTTTCAAAATAAAAAGAAATGGGGATGTAGTTCAATGGTAGAAAGTTCAAATAGCTAAGTAAGAACTTTACGAATTTATTAGTGGCATTCTTCTGGGGAATGAAAAGAAAAAAGTATCTACAGATCTTGTTACTTCTACTGATACAGAATAAAAATACTTACATGCTCATCTGGTCTAGCTCATCTTGCATTGCCATCAAAAGTTCTGACAAACTGTCACAAATGGAAATAGAGTTTTCTGATTCACAAGGCACAGCTTTATACTGGGAAACTGTTCTAGGAGGCTTACAGAGACACCTGGGCTCAATCTCTTGAGCACGTTTTGGAAGGATATGTGAGCCACAACGATGCGTCTTCTGCTGAAGGTGCTGCCTATCTGCGTTCACAGAGCAGGCCATACTGGCGGACTTAAGGGAGAAAAAAATAGCTGAGGACAGTTTTAATGATGGTAGTTACAACAGCACTTGCAAAGACAGTGGAAGGCTTTTTGAACTATCTTTGTTTTTTTCCTCTCACCTTTGTAGCCTCAAAAGGTGGTGCTCTAAAGTTTGAATAAATTTGCAGAGGTGGTCCTCTTTTTAAACATGTAGTTTTCTAAATATTGACAAGGGGAAAAGTAAACCTTTAAAAATATATTTATAAATGAAGAACTCTCAAAACTGTGCAGTAAGCAAAAATACAATTTGAAAAATCACATTAAGACAGTATATTTTTTTTATCATAACAACTAAGGTTTATATAATACAACTATCTAAAATGTTAACTGATATAAACAAGATATTGATCAATCTATAAAGTACTAAATCTTCCATCCTCACTACAAATTCAAAGGTTATGAATATAAAATTAATAATAAATTCCTTATATAAATGATTTTACATTCCTATTGTTTATAAAAATCGTTCTTACTACACGCGTATATGAAACTGCACTTAAGATTTACTGTTTTGTTAGCATCTGTTATGTGTAGTGCCTCTTCAAAAAAAGTATAAACAAACAGAGTTTAAGACCAGAAAAACTGAAATGGTTCCTATCAGTTATAGAAGACAGCTACAGCACCCATTATATGCTCTTTTTTTTGCTTTAGTTATCAAGTAAATGTAAGAGTTAAGTTTCTTACATGGATGATGTTCCTTCTTTAACCCAGTCTTCATATAATTTTCTGTTCCTATGCCTAAACCACCATCATCAATTTCATGGCATTATTTTATATCCTTTATTATAAATTCTTAAATACTTTCTGGAAAGAGGTAGATATAAAGATTTAAAGGGTGAAAAGTGAGTGTTAAAAAATAAAGTTGTTTGGAAAAAAGTTTTACATGCATACCTTTGAAGATTTTTTCTTTTCCTTGTAGTGTTTTGAATTTGAAACTGAAGACATTAAAATTTTACTGATTTCAAGACCAGTCTGAAGCTATAATACCAAAGAAAAAATTCAAAAAATTGATTTGCATTCAGCTTCTTCAAATATAATGAAAATCAGTATTAATTTATAAGCATAAAAATGCTTTTGTGAGAGGTGGGTACTATGGCAAATGCTTGTGGCTGCTCAGGAACTGAGGTAGGAGGACTGCGTGAGGCCAGTTCAGGGCCAAAGTCAGCAACATAGTGAGAGACTCAGCATCTCAAACAATAAAACGAAACAAAGCAAAACAAAACAAAACAAAAATCTTTTGAGGAAGAAATCCAAAATATTTTCTGTGTGTAATCAAGTCAGTAAGTTTATTGATAATTATAACTATTTTCTGTTTATAAGAAAATAAATTATTTGTACATGGATTATATATAGATACAGATAGTAAACTGAAAATAATTACTGTAGGAATTAAACTGAAAATATATGCATCTGCTACAATTTTAAAAAACAGAGGTCTCCTGGCAATGCATCCAAGTGAATGGCTGAGAATTTCATTATTATATCAAAAAGAGATGAATTAACAATCTAGAAAAGGAGAACTTAAGAGTCTAGGATATAAGGTTTCATTAATAAAAATATAGCATAATAAGGTATATGCAATAGACTAATATTATTTACCTCAGCAGCTTTATCTTGAAATAGCTTACGCTGATGCTCTTCTTCCTTAAGTTTTTCCTCTAGATGTTTAATTTTGTCCTGCAAAAGAACAAAAACTAGGAGTGTGACAGAAAAATCTGAGAGAAATATCCTATTTTTACTTTTCTAAACAGAGTTCTAACAGTCTTGATTTTTTTGGTCTTTCTGAGGCAAGGCTTCACTGTGCAGTTCTGACTGGTCCTGCATTCACTCTATAGCTCAGGCTGGCCTCAAACCTGCAGTGATCCTTCTGCCTCAGCCTCCTGAGTGCTGGGACAAGACCAGGCGTGCCCCAACATACCTGGCAAGTGTCTTGAATTTTAAGAGTTGGAAGATTAAAACACAAAGTCAGTAAAAGGAATGTCAAAAACTGTTATGATTTTTCTTGGTTTTCTTTCTATGCTTCCTTACTTGCTATTATACATAAGAACAAAAGAAAAAGAATGTACACATACATTGACTTTATTAACTTGTATCAACAAAACCATACTAATATTTTTGGGAGTATAAAAGACCTACAAGGTCAAACAATCACAGTTTTGGGTCTCAATGTTCTACAAACAGAAAAATATCAATAAATGCCTACCATGTGCTTAATTGGGGTGAAGGAAGACATACATGGTCCTTCTCACTGGAGAGTCACACACATAAATCAACCAATGACTGTGACTTAACATGGACCATGTATACACTCCATCACCCTACACACATTACATCTCCTATCTGTGGTGTCATTCAGAATCGGATGATAGTGACATTTTAAAGGGAGAACTTCTGCAGTGCTGAGTAACTGAAGGGAGGTTTCAAAGAGAAAATTCTATGCAATGAAAAGATTTGGGGGAAGATAGTGGAGAGAGAGTAGGGGATCTAGGATAGGCTTGATGTCACCATTGGTAGTAAAAGACAACCTTTTCAATCTTTTCGGTAAATTATCTGACAGACTTAAATGTCTTGTTGTCTTAGAAGAAGCCAAAATTACAATTTTACATCAAAAGGCAAACTCATTCATGCCATGACAGAACACATTTACTTTTATCTCTAGACACAAGAGTAGCTGGATTACTAAAAGTTATAAATGAAATTTAGTAATTCTAAGATTTACTGTATACTCACACCCAAGGCCAATTTCACTTACCACTAAAGATTTATTCCTGGGATCATCACTTCAAAGAAACAAATAGAAATTTACCTCAGCAGTCTTCTGAGTGGTTGTCAATCTAAAACACTCTTTTTCTAAGATATCAAGTTTTTCAAGTTTTGCATGTAGCTTCATCTGATCTTGTTCTTTTTCCTTTTGAAGTTGGGCCTGGAAAAGGTAAAAACAAAACCTGAATTTGGCAGTGGACGCCAATGGATCAAGAACAGACAATTGCTGTGAATGTAAAGCACAGTAAGAGCGAACGTATGCGGTGTGACTGACAAGGATGGTGAGTTTTTTTTTTTTGAGACGGGGTCTTCTCACTATGCAGTCCAGGCTGGCCTTAAGCTCACTTTGTAGCCCAGGCTGGCCTCGAACTTCCAACATCCTCCTGCCTGAGGCTTCTGAGTGCTGGGAGATGATGAATGTTTTAAGTTAAAAATTATAGTGAAGAGGGCTGGGGTTTTAGCTCAGCGGCATAAGCGCCTGCCTCGCAAGCAGGCAGTCGTGAGTTTGATCCCCGGTACCGATACAAAGGAAAAAGACAAAAAAAAAAAAAAAAGTGAAGACCTCAAAACACCGCCTCCTTGTGTCAGACACCCTTATCCCATCATCCTTGTCCACCTCCCAGAGCAGTTCTGAAGCTCGCTTTTCTGTCTTTAGTTTTGCTGTCATGGCTCCCTCAATGTCTTAATCTGATTCCAAATGTTTACCTCTCATTGTCAGTTTGTTTGGGGAGGAGCTGGTGGTTCCAAGGTGACAGACCCAGTGAACAAGGCCTCTGAGAACAGTGTAGTGTTTTCTTATGACTCTTCCTGTGCACTGGATGACACTCAGCAGCATTTGCTGCATTAAAAAAAAATCGTACCTGCTACAGACACTCATGAATGAGGACTTCCAGAATGGCATTGGGAAGTAGCAGGAACACAGAGTGCTAAGTGTGTCTGAAGCAGATGATGGGGTGGGGGATTCTGACAGGACTTAATGGAGATGTGCCTTTTACTGTATAATATTTCTTAATTTGAACAGCCACTATAACTTGGATTTTTAATTTAGACATTCACTATATATGTATTCCAATCAAATTTCCTAACTTCCAGTTTCTGAGAACTAGGAAAAATATAATCTGTTGTAAGCAATACACTTTAGGTACTTATAAGCAAAAAGCAAACATGGTATTTTTAAGGAGCAAATAACATGTGTCCCCTCCTAAAATGTGATATATTAGAATCAATGGAATAAACTCCATTTTCCATCCTTACAAAACATTGCTACTAAGGGACATATCATTAGCAACATCTATACTAAATAAAGGGCTATTTTTACAAGGTGATCAGCCCTACTTATTGACTTAAGCTTTTTCTAAGTCTAACACAGAAAAACAGCTATCAAAGAATTAAGCATTAGAAGTGCATGGAAAAAAGGAAATTCACATGTAATATATGCCTTACTATATACTTTTTTAAGTACTCTCTATTGCTATACTAATGAAAGATATATATAAGCAAATGAGATGGTACTGTCTGCTCAATTTTCTATAAATTTAGAATGTTTCTAAGACAAAAATTATTAAAGAACAAAAGCTAAAAAGATTCTATATAAAACACTAACAAGGGGCTGGGGATTTAGCTCAGCGGCATAAGCACCTTCCTTGTAAGCAGACAGTCGTGAGTCGAGCCCCAGTACAGATAAAAAGGAAAAAGACAAAAAAAAAAAAAAAAAAAGAAAGAAAGAAAAAACACTAACAGATTTTTTAAAAATCTCAAAAAGTTCTAAGTAGAATAAATATAAGAAAATCAGAGCTAAGCACATCATTATCAAATCCTCAAAGCGGGTTAGGGTGACACACACCTAGTTCTAGCACTCAAAAGACTGAAGCATGAGGATATCAGGATTAAAGGTAGCCCTGCCTGGGCTACATAATGAGAACTGTCTCAAAACAAACAAACAAGCTGGAAGTGGTGGCTCAGGCCTATAATCCCAGCACTCACTCAGGGAGGCTGAGGTGGGAGGATTGTTTCGAGTTTGAGATCAGCCTGGGCTACTACAAAGTGAGCTCAAGGCCAGCCTGAACCACATGGCGAGACCCCATCTCAAAAAAAAAACAAAAAACACAAAACACCCAGCTGAAAATCATTAAGAAGGGGACACCATCTTAAAAGCAGTCTGAGAGCTTTCATAGGCAAACGGAGACAACTTGAGGCTACCCTCACTAGTGAAATAAGAACGACAGTTATAATATCACATTGTGTCTCTAAGTATAAAAAGTAATAAGAAATGTAGGAGTAATAAAACCCAAAATGTGTAATTGCTATTATAAAAAAGAGAGGAAAGTGCTCTAAAGGATATAACTGCATGTATGTTTCAGTGTGTAGGATTGAGAACCATATTACCAAGTTTTTGTTGACTCCTTGAACAGAACTATTTATAGTCTCGCTGTTTAAATGTCTACTTTGTATGCTTTACTTTTGTAACTTGAACAACTATTTCTAAGAGGACAATATGTAATTTATCAACTAGTGATTTCTTTTTTTGAAATTATGCATTATTTCTAAAAAAAATAGTATTCTGATTAATGATGATACAATTTACATAGGGAGACAAAAATTCTTGCCAGGAATCCCACCACTTGGGAGGCTAAGGTTGGGGGATTTTAAGTTTATGGGAAACCTGAGCAAGGGTCTCACCAAGAAATTTTAAAAATTTAAAAATAAAATTCAAATTGAAACAAAATATTAAGATAAAAAATTTTTTATTATTGTGGGTTTGCAATACACAGTAACTAGTACACATATGTATTTAGTGTATGCATATATATATATGTATCTATATATGGAGCGTGTATACGTACGTTTGTAGCATATTAATCATCTCCTATTCCCTTCCTTCCTCCCTCCCCTCCCCTCTTTCCTTTGGTCTCCTTCCCATCTCCAAAAGGTCTGCCGCTCTGTTCTTCTATCTCTCCTTTATTTTACTCTTTATTTGTATTCTGAGCTCCTCATAGAAGAGAAATTCTGTGATTTTTAACCTTATGTGTCTCACTTATTTCACGTCTCATCATGGTTTGAGATCCATCCATCTTCCTACAAATAATTCAAACTTAGGGGCCGGGAATGTTAGCTCAGTAGCAGAAGCTCCTGCCTCCCAAGTGCGCGGTTATGAATTTTATCCCTGGTAACAAAATAAATAAAAATTCAAACTCATCTTTTTTATGGCTGAATAATAATACTCCACTGTGATAATATCCATTTGTCCGCTGATAGGTACCTAGGCTGTTTCCACAGTTCAGCTATTGTGAATTGTGCTGATATATATCACTATAGTGTGATGTCTAACTTTGGGGGAAACAGACATCATAAAGCTAGGTCAAATAGAATTTCTCTTTTTAGCTTTTGAGGAATTCTACATTGATTTCAAAAGTGGTAGCAAGTTTGAATTCCCCCACAACATAGACATAGAAGGGCTACTTCCTCGCCACCCCACCTTGCCAGCATTTTTGTTTGTTCATTCTTGATGCTAGTCATTCTGCCTGTAGTGAGAATCACTTGTATTTCCCTAATAGCTAAAGATACTGAGACTTTTTCACGTGTTTGTCATTTGTACTTCTTTTGAGAAGTGTATGTTCATTTTGTTCACCCATTTTTTGATCTGTTTGTTTTTAGGGGAGTCTACTTTTTGAGTTCTTTATATACTCTAGATATTACTCCTCTGTTTGAGGAGTAGCTGGCAATCCTCGCTGCCACTTTTTAAGTTGTCTCTTCACTCTGTTTATTGTTTCCTTTGTTGTGCAGGAGCTTTTTAATTCAATATACTTCCATTTGCTGATTCTTGGTATTGCTCCTTGTGCTACTGGAGTTGTATTCATAAGCCCCTGCTTATATCTAAGAGTTTTCTTTTTTGACAGTTTCAGTGTTTTTAATTCTAGTTTTTGATCCATTTTTATTTTATTTATTTATTTGTGTGTGTGTGTGTGTGTGTGTGTGTGTGTGTCTTCTTGAGACAGGGTCTTGCTATGCACTTCAGGCTGGTCTCAGACTTGCAACAATCCCCCTGCCTCAGCGTGCTGAGTGCTGGGTTCACCTGAGTGCACCACCACACCTGGCTTTTTACTTCATTTTAGGGCAACGTGAGAGATAGAGGTCTACTTTCATTTTTGTGCACGTGGGTAACCACTTTTCCTACACCATTCTACAGAGGCTATCTTTTCTCCAGGGTATGTTTTTAGCTCCTTTGTTAAAGACAGGTGACTAAAGGTGCCTGCCTGTAATGCCAGCACTCAGGAGCTGAGGCAGGAGGATTGCTGAGAGTTAAAGGATAGCCTAAACTACGAAGTGAGGTTCTTTCTCAAAAAACCAAAACACAAACCAACCAACCAACAAAAAACCAAATTTAGTAGTTAGGTTCATTGTTAACCTTATGGGGAAATTTGATTTAGTTGTCAGGAAATTTGATTTTTGACCAGAACCAGAGAACTGAGTTCATGAATGAAGGTACCACTGTAAATTACATATAAAGGCAAACCCATCAGAACTACAGCAGATTTCTCAACACACTGTTCATAGACTTCATCGCAGAAAACTTCTCTGCTAGAGAAAAAGAATTTGGCATGCAGATAAGCTGTACAGAACTCCAGTTAGCCATGAGAAAAAAAAAAATCTACAACCAGGCACATCATAGTAAAGATTCCAGAAATTCAACACAAGAATAGCTGTTAGGGAAAAGAAACAAATCACCTATAAAAGAAAGCCCATCCGAATCATAGCTGACTTCTCAGCCTAAACCCTCAAGTCAAGGATAGCTTGGAGTGAAATATTTCAAGTTCTAAAGGAAAACAATCCTTAAACCAGATTGAGGTACCCCACAAAACTATCTTTCAAAATTGATGGACAAACTAAGATACTTTCATGATAAAGAACAGCTGAGGAAATTTGTGACCATCAAAACAGCACTCCAAAATTACTTTGAAGGACATTCTAGAAAGAGATAACAAAAACTACAACGCTATGAACCCAAACAAAGGAATCCACGAGGCAAGGCAAACCATTAACCAGAGGAAGGGAAAAAGGGGGGAGGGGCACAATAGGAAAATAACAAGGAGAGGTTCATACATCTTAGTTATAACCATCAATGTTAGTGGTCTCAGCTCACCAATCCAAAGACAGACTGGC